CGAGCGGGGGGAGCCCGGGCACGCCCGCTGGTGTCCACCGGAGCGCCCCTCTGAAGGATTGTCCCCTCTGCCGCTGCCAGAGCGTCAACCGCCCGGGCCTGGCTTTACGGGTCCCCGCAGCCCCAGTGTCCCTGGTGCCATGGGTGCCTCTGCCGTGGGGTGTCCCAGGAGGACTGGCTCGGGTACAGAGTATCAGCGCAGGCCGAGGGGGCCTATGGCCCTCCAGGGGAGGGACAAAGAGGGCTCCAAGGGTATCTTAAAAGCTTCCTTAAAGCCCGTGGCAGTTTGCTCCCTCTGACATGGGAGGCTCTTGCTTGGCTGCGAGCTGTCACTCCGCAGAAACAGCACATTTGGCTATTTGCTTAAAACAAACGCAACCTCCCTGGGCAGCTCAGCATCCTGGCACGTGGGCCAGGAATTCTTTTTCCATGTTGGGTTGCGCAGAGGAGTGGGGCAGGTGTGTGGTGGAGCCAGGGGCTCAGGCATGTTTGAAGCAGCATGAAGGGTCTGCTGCACTGCGTCCAGCTCGCGCACCCAGCTCTGTCCTGTAGTGCCCCGGCCTGACCCTGAGCCAGTTTGGGCAGCCCAGGCATGTTGCCTAGCAGGAGCCTATTTTATTGCCTCCCCTGAAACAATGATCCCTCCAATTTCTGAGCCACTCACTTGAACTCCTGCAGAACAAAAGCTACCTTCCTCCTGCCTGGGGATGCAGCTGCCCAGGGAGTAGCAAAGCTGGAAAACCTGAGACACAACAGGCAAGAAAAGGTATCATCCTGGAGACATTGTAAGCAAAGGAGGAGCAGGCTTGACGCACCTGCGGGGTTAATGGAAACCAGTGCATGAGTGGGAGCAGGAGCACAGGCAGCCTGGGCTGGGTGGGGGAATAGACAATGTTCTGGCAACCAACAGCAGCACTCTGCCGCAGTGGCCAGGACATTCTGTTCGTGAACAGCCCAGCGCCTCCTTCCCCCTCACAGGCAGGCGGGGACGTGTCAGGAGCCGCAGCACCATTACACGTTTCCTGCACTTCCCTGACTAGGGGGAACCAGCTGGAGCAGTGTGTGCATGCCCAAACCAGAGTGGCAGGACAGTGCTTCCCCAGGGACCAAGGCGTGATGTCTTGCACACAGTCATCCTGTGGGGGCTGGTAGCTGCTGCCCACAGCAGGTTTGGGACTTGGGACTTGGCTGTCTGAGGTGCCAGGGCCAGGCAAGGCACAGCTGGAGGGATGGGTGCTGTGGGGGTGCAGGAGGAGAGAAGCCAGGTGCCCAGCCCAGTATCCAGCCCTTAAGCCCCAGGGACCCTGTAGACAGGATGCTCTAAAGGGCTTTTACACTCATAACCACCCAGAGAATGAGGTTTATTTACTCTGCGGCAACTGGAAAGCTTCTGCATTTGCTCTCCTGGGCAGTCGAAGCCCATGTCATTGCTCAGGATCAGGGCCGCCCTCTGCCCCCACCATGATCCCAGAGAGCCCCAGTCGTCCCATCCCCAGTAGATCAGAATGCAGCTCCTGCAGGTGCAGTGTGGTCACCCTTTGGTGACCCAGTAATCAGATGTAGCTGTTAGCCAGACTGTTGGACAGATCCTACACCGACTACTGAGCAGCCAAGAGCACCATGTCTCTGCTGGGTCTCCACCTTGGCTCTAGGGAGGACTGGCAGTGAGCAGAGCAGCTTCCCCTGGGGAAAGAAAATGTGCTGGTGCCAATGGGGTGGGATGGCTGGGAGCAAGTAGGCACCTGGTGGCAGTGCTTCATCTTGGAAATCCCACCCAAACACCGGCAACAGGTGGCACTGGGGTCTCCTGCATGTCCATTACGTGGTGGGGTCCCATACCCATGCAGCACGTGTCCCTGGTTTTGTCTCCCTGCCCTGGGCAATGGGCTGTCCCCATGTCCTGGGGCCAAGTAGGGTTCCTCTTGTGCCTCGTCCCCAGTGCCAGCTGGGGGGGCCTAGCACACATGATCTCAGGGGCACCCACTGGCCTGAGCATCTGCATCATGGCCGCATCTTTCCAGGCACACATGTACCATTGCCTGGGGTAGGTGCTTGGCTTCTTCCCACAGTGGGGAAGGAACTGGGCTGACAGGGGGGCTGGAGGGGCTGCAGGGCTGGGGGTTCCTGTGCAGTGGGATCAGGCCCAGCTTGGTACAGAGAGTGCCACAGGGTCTGGTGAGTGCAGCAGCAGAGCCCAGAAGTAGCACCTCAGCACCCCGCAGCCACTGGGGCTCCCTGCAAGGCACCTTTCCTGGCAAGCAGTCCTATTCAGCTCAGGAGACAAAGGCACAAAGAGCCATTCCCTGTCTCAAAGGCTTTCCCTCCCTCCCAGCACCCACCACCGCCTCCCAGCACCACCACCACCTCCCAGCCTGCGTAGCCTGGCTGAGCCGCAGCTTTCCAGGCCACGTGGGCTTCCAGCAGCTGTGCACAGTCAGGGCGAGCGGTACTGGGCAATAATGCAGTTAGCAAAACCATGTCCCCCTAGCAAGTCCCCACTTGCAGAGCCCTCAGAAATGCTCTATAAATGGACCCATGATGCCCCTCTGGGCACCTCAGTGAGTCACCATACCTGGCCATCTCTGCCAGATGCTAGGGTCCCCCGCCGATAGGAAGCTTTCCCCAGCACACAGGGACCTGGAGGGCTGCAGTGTCCTGAGGCTCCCAAGCTGCTACTCCAGTGGCTCAGCATGATGTGGCCCCAGTGCTGCTGGCCTTGTGGCCCTGGCTGCACAGCGCTCTGCTGGGGCTGCCACCGAGTTGCCGCTTTTAATACATTGAGAAGCAACATCTGAATTCCCCTTCCCCCGGCTGGGACATCTGCGCTGTTGTCATGCAGCCATGCAGGGACAGCCCCAGCTCAGTGGCTGGCTGGGGACACGCTGCTGCTTGCAGAAAGGAAATTTGCAGCTCAGCCCCATCAAAGCAAGAGCACGGGGATTTTCAGCGGGGTTTCTCTCTCTGCTGCCATCTCTCTCTTTTCTCATTTTCTGGAAATGAAACAAACTTGGGCTCCAGCCCTTCATGTCACTCGGTGTTTATGGGTGGAGGTGGCAGCCCTTCTCCTTCACTCCCCCACCAGGTGCCATGGGGACTTTTCCGTGCAGGCTGGCTCTCCCCCAGCCTCCCCTACTTCCATGCTGCAAAGGAAGGGGCTTTCTGCTACCTCCTGCCAGCAGCTGGGATTTCTGCCAGCCAGGTTTAGGGAACAGGAGGGCAGGCTGAGCAGCCTGGTGCCAGGCACAGCGCTGTGCTGAGAGCAGCAGTGAGCCCCTGCCCACCCCTCAAGCCATCCCTCCTGCTGAGAAGTGCTCATTTTGGACAGTCAACGGATGCAACCAGCCTGGAGCACAGCAAATGATACCAAGTGGTTGCTCAGGTGATACAGGTGCTCTCTTTCTGACTTGCTGTTGCCTTGCAGGTGATTGTGGGTAAGTCCTGCTGCTCCTTTCATCAGTTTCCCCAGCTGTAAAAGGTGAATAACAATTCCTGGATGTGCCATAATCTCCTCATTCAACTTTTGCCTGTTTTCTGCCCGTTTGGCCGGGATCCTGGTCCATCTTCCCTCACAATCCCTCCATCTTGCTAGTCTGCACCCTCTTCTGTTGCTGCCTGGCCAGCAGGCACCCCTGCCAGCCCCAAGGTCTGGGCTGGACATATGGGGACGAGACGAGCACGGTGCAGGGACATCCATGGGCACTAGCTGCAGCAGCATCCTCAGGCTCAGGACTCTGCCCCAGTGACAGGCACAGCCCAGGGCTGTGGGGTAGCTGGGTGGAGGGCTTCAGGCTGCATGGGAGCTTGCTACAGCTTCCTGCATCCAGTTCTTTCTCATTCAGAGATGCCTCCAACATGAGAAATGAGAGAGAAAGGAGAAATGCTCCACTGATCCACTTACTGCAGAGAAAGCCAGGGGAGGAGCCAGGGGACCTCCTCCACATCAGCATTTATGCTCCAGGGCTAGGGAACCTCAGGACTGGATTTGCTGGACGCTCAGGAGTGTCGGTGCCATCGGCCCCACTGTGCTGCTGCTCCCTTGGGGTCCTGCTGTCTGCAGGTCAGCCGATCTGTGAGCTGCATGGGGCTGTAGCCACTCTTTACTCTGTCATTGCTGGGGTGCAGTGGCTGAGCAAGGCCCGCCAGGCATTTCTCCTCCAGCCCAGAGCTTTGGTTCCAAAGGATGGAGTTTTTTCCCCCAATGACAGGCGTGGGCTTTGCTCCTGCTGTGATTTATCTGCACTAAAGCCAAGGTTTGTGTCTCTATCTGGGCTGGTTTTGCAGCAGCCGGGATGGAGACAAAAGCACCACAAGAGATGCCTTTTTTGGCTGGTGAGTTAGTGCTTTGTTTTAATATTTGTTCTTCCTGAGACAGTGGGTTCTGAAAACAGCTCCCCTAAAGCACCTCTGCCCTTGCACAGCACAGTGGGGCTGGTTACATGGGATAAACACATCCCCTGTGACTAAACCCCAGTGCTGGCTCTGGAGAGCCACTCTGGAAATGCCTGTGAAGTGAAGGAGTAGATGTCTGTAGCATCCTTCACTCCATTTGTGCAGGGAGGTGCTGGAAAGGTGACAGGGATTTCCTG